GCGTGGCCCGGGCCGGTGAGTGGAGGGCACCGAGGGAGCCGGCCTGGAGGGCGGAGGGGCCAGAGGGGACTCGGGTCTGCGGCCACGGTTCCCCTCCGGAGTTCCAGTTGCCGCCTGGCCTCGGGGACTGTGGGAGCCTCCGTTTCTTTAAACTGTGGCCTCTCACGGGAGGTGGGAGTTGGGAAACGCCCCCGGGCAGATCAGCGGTAACGGGGCCACGCTTCCCTGTGCCAAGCGGAGCTGTTGGGCCTGACTGCCGAGGAGGTCTACCTGGTGCACGACGACCTGGACAAGCCCCTGGGGAAGCTGGCTCTGAAGCTGGGCGGAAGCGCCAGGTGAGGCCCCGAGCCCGTCGGGGTGGGACAGGAAGTTGGCCTCCCATTTGGAGTGGGGTGGGGGTGCTGACCACAGCTGAGCTGGGAGAGGGAAGGGGGCTGACCCAGGGAAGCACTGACTGCCCCTCTCCTATCCCTCGAAGGGGCCATAATGGAGTTCGTTCCTGCATTTGCTGCCTCAACTCCAACGTGAGTCCGCCCCCTTGGTCCTGCTCTGGGTCGGGTGGTTCGGCATGGGGTCCAGCACTCCTCACCAAAGCTGCCCGGGCCCCTCCGCTCCTCCACAGGCAATGCCACGGCTGCGAGTGGGCATCGGGCGCCCGACACACCCAGACGCCGTGCAGGCACACGTGCTGGGCTGCTTCTCCCCATCGGAGCAGGAACTGCTGCTTCCAGTGCTGGAGCGGGCCACAGACCTGCTCCTGGACCACATCCGTGAGCGGAGCCAGGGGCCCTTGTCAGGCACCTGACACCAGTGGCCACAGCGGCCTGCTCACCTACCATGCCCAGATACCCAGCCACGTCCACAGAGGTGCCACGCCAACCTGTGGTAGCCACTTTTTATAGAACTCTTCTCTGGACTACTCCAGGCTCCTGGGATTAAAAGGGACTGTGGCTGGATTGGTCCATTTTGGGGATGAGGGTTGGTCGTCTCTCTGTGTCTTACTTGGAAAACAGGGAAACTTCAGGAAGACTAAACTTTTTTATCTTTTTTGAAGTCTCCGAGGTTTGGATCTGTAAGATTAAAGATGCCTGCTCGGAAGCTGAAGCTTCCTCCGGGGGTTCCTACCCTCCTCCTGCCTGTGGAGGAGGGACCCAGCAAGCCCCCCTCCCAGGGGCTGTGTGGGCATGCCTTAGGCCACTGAGACCTTGTCACACCTTTCTTCAGCCCATTTCACAGATGGGGAAATGGAGGCTTAGAGAAGTCTGGCCACATCCCCAAGGCCACACAGCTGCAGTGTGACTGAGCCATGATCGCACCCAGGGCTGGCTGTCATCGAGGTCCCAGGCATTCTCACCTCAGTGCTGCTGAGTGCCTGGAATGATCTCATACGAGTGAAGTGTGAGAGCAGCCTGAGGTCCTCAGGGTTGGGTGAGAGGCGGACCTGTCGAGGCACCAGGCCCAGGTCTGCCAGCTGGGAGGTCGGGAGGTCGGACAGCCGTTGGAGCATTGACCCAGTCTTGGGTGGCGAGATGCTGGACTGGCTGCGGGGAGGCGGGTGGTGTCATCACCTCCATTTCAGAGATGAGGAGGCTGAGGTTCAGAAAGGCTTTGGGGAGCCTAAATTCTGGCCCAGGGTCTCTGAGACAGCCCTTGGCAAGTCCTATAGCTGCTGCTTCTGAGGTCACACAAGGTCACTCACCTGTCCGGGTGGCCATGATGTTGGTGGGGACCCATAATATTCGGGGGGCTTAGGACCACGGCCGAGCTGAGCATGGCCAGCAGCTGCCTCAGGATCTCCTTGCAGTGCAGCTGGAACACTATCTCATAGTTGCCGTCCTCTTCCTCTGGTTGCAGGTTCTGGTAGGAGTGGGGGTGGGCCCATGGGGACCAGGCCCATAGTGGCCCAACACCCACCTCTGGGAAACTCCAACCCCAGTGCCTGTTTTAAAAAGTGTTCCCTGGCTGTGGTGGGATATCCATTCTCCAAATGGGAAGACTGAGGCCCAAGGCCTTCCAGGGCCTCAGAGAAGGACTCCATTCAGTTTCTTCAAGACCTTGAGGGGATCTTTGAATTGCAGACTCAGAAAAGGGCAGACTTGCCAGGAGTCTCTCAGGGAAAAGTTGGGGCGTCTGGCCCTGGCTTGGCTTTCTCCGCGGGCCCAGTTACCTCTGGGCCGACCCCCCCCTCACTTTCACCCACTTGTTGGTCACCTGCAGAATGTTCTGTAGGAAGTTGGTGGTGTGGGCCAGGGTCGTCTCCAGGCTTGCCCGCACCTTCTGCTCTTTGGCCAGCTCATGCCGCAGCCGCTTCGCCTCGGTGTGCTGATGCTCCAGCTGCTGGTTCAGCTGGACTTTCTGGCTCCTGGCCGTGGGACCCGATGAGTCAGCCACCTCCCTACTCCAGGGTGTTGGGCCCTGCCATTGCTCGTTAGCCCACAGGGTCCCTCATCCAGCCCCGGGCCTCAGGCTGTTTGACAGGAAGCCTCGAGGCCCTTCTAGAGAGAGGAAGTCACTGGCCTGCGTCACGTGGCCATAAGGAGCCAGGCTCCTGCCTACTCCCACTGTCCGCCCACCGCGGGCCCCACCTCAGTGCCTCCTTCTCCTTCTGCAGCTGCAGGACTTTCTGCTCCAATTCGCTTCGCAGGAAGCGCAGCTTATCAGCCTCCACTCTGCCCTTCTGCTGCTTGTGGCACTTCTCAGTCAGCATGAGGATGATCTGTGGGTACGAGCAGGTGGCCATGCCCCAGACCCACTGTGGGTCCTTAGCCAGCCCCACACCCCCAGCTCTAGACTCAGCCAGGGCTCACCCCATTGCACAGAGAGGTCACATCCCTGAAGAGCAGCTGAGCAGAGCCCCCAGCTCTCTGGGAGTGGGTTCCACTTCAACAAGTTATAGGAGCTTTAAATCAAATAAAGAAAAATGAGCTGCCCTAGCTGGTTTGGCTCAGTGGATAGAGCATCGGCCTGCGGACTGAAGGGTCCCTGGTTCGATTCGGGTTAAGGGCACATGCCCGAGTTGCAGCTCGATCCCCAGTAGGGGGCGTGCAGGAGGCAGCCAATCAATGATTCTCATCATTGATGTTTCTCTCTCTCTTCCTCTCCCTTCCTCTCTGAAATCAATAAAAATATATTTAAGAAGAAAAAAAAATGAGCTGGGGCCAGCACCCTAGAGCCCCCACAAGTAGGGCTGGTCCCCTCACAGCTGGCTCCCTCCGGACTTGGCTCCAGGCCAGGTACACCCCTGCCAAGCGTGTGTTTGCCCTCAGGGCAGGGCCCCTAGGATTCCCTCCAGCTTTAGGTGCCAAACACCCTGTGCTGAGGGCCTGGCAGGCACACCTTTTGGTGGCTTCTGCTGTGCTTGGCCATGGCCTGCTTGGCGTTCTGCAGTAGCTCCAGCTCTTTGCACAGCTTGTCTTGGTTGCTCTTGAGCTGGTCATTCTCCCGCAGCAGCTGCACGCCATGCTGGGAGACCCTGGACAGCTGCAGGGTCACAGTGTTGTTCTCCAGGATGGCCTGCTTCGTTGTGTCCCACATCTGGCTAGTGGCCATCTTGTGGAAGTCAGTGGCCACCTGGTTCACACGCTGAATGATTTCCTTCTTCACTCTACTCGGGATGGGTGGGAATGAAGGGGGTCAGGCAGAGTGGGCACAGACCTCAGGCACCCCTATGTGGAGGTGCCCAGAGTGCCTAGGGCCACCTCTCTGCTCGTCCCTCCAGGAGGGGTGGGCTGTGGGCAGGAGGCTTCTCACTGTAGACCCTTTGTATCTTTTAAAAAATATATATATATTTTTTTTATTGATTTCAGAGAGGAAGGGAGAGGGAGAGAGAAACATGAGAAACATGAGAGAGAATCACTGATCGGATGCCTCCTGCACACCCCCTACTGGGAATTGAGCCCACAACCCAGGCATGTGCCTTTGACCGGAATCGAACCTGGGACCCTTCAGTCCACAGGCCGATGCTCTATCCACTGAGCCAACCTGCTGTGGCACCCTTTGTACCTTGAATTATGAACCAAATCAGTGGATTAGCTATGAAATAAATATGACTTAAGTCACAAAACATGGCAAAAGGAAGTTCAGGGATTCTCCGATGCCAGTGTGAGGACGAGCTGGGGAGCTTGGTTACTTTCTCACACCCTCCATAACCCTGCCGGGATCCCGGGGAGCTCAGGATGGGGAGTCAATGAGCTAGCACAGGCTCCCCAATCAGAATTCTGTGAGGCAAACAGAGGTCTGAGGACTGGGCTGCGCCTGCCCCCCACCCCATGAAGGCTCCCGCACGCGGCCTGCCCACCTGTCCCTGTCCAGCACCGACTTCTTCTCCAGGTTGTACATGTAGTCCTTGTATTCATACTCCTGCTTCTGCAGCTGGTCCTCCAGCAATGTGAACTTCTCCGAAAGCTCCTCTTTCTGCTGCCGGAACTCCTCCAGGGCTGCCAGCTTCCCCCCTGCCCCATCCCAGGGCACAAGCCTGGTGAGGGGCCTCCTGGGAGGGCAGGTCCCAGGGGCAGCAAGGGCCTGGAGCGATGCCCCTCCCTCCCCACTTCCTCTTGCCTGCCTTATGGTTCCTGATCCAGGAGGGCCAGACCCCTACCCCTACACCCAGTCCTGCCCACCTTTATTGCTTTAGTCTGGAAAGCTCTCTCTTCCCCTCCACTAATCTTATCAAGACTTGTTCAGGTTTCATCTCTGAGAAGCTGTCCTTGACACTCTCCTCCACTCCTGTCTCATGAAGGCAATGGTGACAACCACCACTCATTTGAACACCTTCTCTGGGCCAGGCATTCATGCTGTCATTAAGCCTCAAAACAACCCTTGCCACCTGGGTGACCTTGGCCAAGACACTTCACCTTCTTAAGGTGCTCCCTTACCTACAAATGGGGAGACAGCACTTCCTGCCTCACAGGATTGCTGGGACATTAACTATGGAAGATAATGAATGTGTGGGAAGCAGCACATCACTGTCGTTATTCAAGGCAGACATATCCCCATTTCCCAGGTGGGAAAGCAGGGTCAGAGAGAAGTGCTTGCCCGAGGCCATAGAGATAGCGGTAGAGCTAGGACTTGAGCCCACAGAGCCAGAGTCTGGGATTCCCTGTCTCCATGGCAGGTGCACCCAGGCCCCCTCACCAATGATGATGTTCTCCGTGGTGAGCTGGTCCTTGGTCTCCTGGAACTCATGGCGCACCTGGGCTAACTGGGCTTCAAAGGCGTCCTTCTCCATCTCCTTGGCCAGCTGCAGGCTTTGGAGCTGCTCATTGAGGTCGGCGATCTCATCCACCCGCTGGTTGAGCGTCCGCTTGAGGAAGGCCACAATCTCCTTCTTATTGCTGGCCAGCTGCTCATACTCCTGGCGGAATAGCTTCTCCTGCACAGCCAGCTCATCCCACTTGTGCTGGTACCTGAGGCGAGGGCGGGGCAGAGCTCCAGGGGTCTGGGCACGCCAGGCCTCTGCAACTGGGCCAACCTCCTCAAGACCCTCTCACAGATGGACATTTGAGGTTCCTCATGGTCAGAATCCAGCCTCATCTCCCCCTGACCTGCACTCATGACCATAGCCAGTGTCTGCTCAGTGCATTACCTTCATCACATCATTAGCATGTAAGTTCCCTGAGGGCAGAGCCTTTCTCTCTTGTGTTCACAGCTGTGTCCCCAACACCTAGGACTGTGCCTGATACATAGCAGGTACTCTGTGTATTTGCTGAATTCTCACAACAGCCCATAAGGAAGTGGGTATTATGATGATTATACCCACTTGACAGATGAGAAAATGGAGGCTCAGAGGGATAAAGAAACTCCTAGTAAGTGGCAAAACCAGAACTTGAACTCAAGTCAATCTGACCTCAAAGTCACGGCTCAACTACAACACTTAACTGCCCAAGTCGACCAGCTCTGTGCCCTCCCTAGCCTTTGCACCTGCTATCTTCCTTACCTTCATCCACTGAGTTAGCTACCTCCTCAGTGGAGCCTTCTTGGCTCTGAGCCATATTTGTGACCCTCTCTGGGGTGCCCTTTAGTAGGTTAGCCCTTGTCTCACTGGGCAGTCAAGACCTGACGTGTCTGTTTTCTCCACCTGGCCGACCTCTGACCTCCTTCACCATGATATTCTTGGGGCCTGGCAGAGGAGCTTAGCAAATAGTAAGCACCCAACACTGTCTCCCAAACGCATTTTCCCCAAATACATTCGATCCAGTGTCTCAGCTTGAAGGAAGCTCGTGAATTTTTAAGAGTGTCCTATGATTGATCTATTGGTTTCCTAGGGAATAATTGGTGAAGTTATTTGGAAAGATGTTTTACTTCATAATTAACCCAACCAACATCTTTTGAACGGCTACTGCATACAGGGCCCTGCAGGGTGCAGAACCGAATGACCTGCTTTGTGGAGCAAGGAAGCAGCCTGGTGGAGGGAAGTCAGGGGGCCAGAGCTCCCATTCTGCCCTCTCTGCCTCCCGAGGTGACTTCCCCTCCCTGAGCCTCAGACCTTCCGTCTGTGCAATAGGGATGCCATGAAGACCTCTCTCCTGGCTCTGTCTCAGGGACACAGTGAGCACAGCACAGGACCCACCTGGCACACATGAAGGAGTCAACGTTAGCTGTATCTGCAACATGTGGGGTTCTTGCTCATCACCAAAGGGTCTTTTAAGGGTGACCCTGAGACTGAGCCAGTGCATCCTAACTGGGAGGAAACTTGGTTTGAAAATAAGAAAAATGGCCAGGTGAACATGTCTTGGAAGAGTTAGACACACACACACACAGACACACAGACACACAGACACACAGACACACACACACACACACACACACAACACACACACCTACCATCCCCAGCTGAGCCTGCACAGTGGCCAGCTCTGGGCAGAGCTTCTGACCCAGCAGGACCAGCCTCTATGCGCCCACCCACCGGGCCAGCCTGTCCTCCAGGTCTCGGATCTGGATGTGGTAGAACTCCCGTAACTCCTCGGCTAAAACCGTATCGATGGCCATGTTGGGCTCCTTCTTGGCACCTTTCTTCTTGGCCTCGAGCTCCTTGGCCCCCTTCTTTGCCTTCTTTTTGGGAGCCATGGCTGGTAGCCACTGCTACCTCACGACTCCTTTAAAAGACCAGGTGGTTGCTAAGGAAGTTGGTCTCATACATAGCAACAAACTGAAGGAATGAAACAAGGCTTAAAGGGGCCCTGCCCTATTTTGGGCAAGGCGGGCCCTGGAGAATGGTCTCCACCTCCAAGGCTGACAGCACCTCCATAGAGGCTCTAGGTTGGGGTTTCCTAGGCCCTGGTGTCTCCAGACCAGGATGCCAGGCCCTCAGGGCACTCTTGGGCTCTGGAGACCCCTTCTCCCCCAGGTGGCAATAAGTGATGTAGAAATATTACAGTGGTTCTGAGCCCTCGAAGTCACTACCCTGCCCCTTGGTGCTGATCAGAGGGGACATCTGCCCCAGAGCTCCTCAGGACCAGAAGAAGCTGGTCACCAGGCCCCAGGCCAAGAAACCCCTCCCCTGAGGCCTGAGACCGGCTTAATTCTTTGGTGATGCAGCTACAAAGCAGAATCCTCCTCTTGGTTCACCCAAAGCAGGTGGGGAGGCGCTACGGTAAGGATAGGTATTTTCGTGAGCATCGACCTAGGAAGCGGGAGGTCACGGTTCGATTCCGGTCGGGCCAGATGCCTGGGTTGTGGGCTCGATCTCCGGTGTGGGGCACAGAAGGCAGCTGATTAATGATTCTTTCTCATCATTGATGTTTCTAGCTCTCCCTCTCCCTTCCTTTCTGAAATCAATAAAAAAAATATATTTTTAAAAAAGAAATAGATGTTTCATATAGGAGGCTCCCATACGGGGTCCCAGGACGTCCCTGTCCAGAGGCTGGCTCAGTTTTCCACCCGGCTCGGGGAAAGTGCCCCTTTGTCCCACGCTGACCCCGGCAAATAAAGCTGTACTCTGTAGCTTTGCCTTGGGTGGCAGCATCCTGGGCTGGGGGGAGGGGGAGAAGAGGGCACGGTAGGTGTCCAGCTGGCTGATGCCCTGGCTGGCCCCTCATGCCCCATCTCCTCCCCTCTCCCGGAGACCATGCCCGTAGGCCTGTGGTATTCACCCAGTGCTTGTGGCCCAGGCACTCCTGAGACAGGGGCAGTCCTCTTCCTCCCTGTTGTCCTAGGGCTTGGCACTTAGCAAGAGGTGAAATAGTCCCTCCTGGAAGTCCAAAGGCTAGACAAGGTGAAGCTCTATTACTGCAGCCTTAGGGGTTGGTTTGAGTGGCTGGATCCTTGTGGTGGGTGCCAGGGGATAGGGAGGTTCAGAAACAGGGAGGTGGGTGTTTACTTTTGGCAATGAGGCAGGTTGGAGCAGTGGTTGGTTAAAGGTGGGCTTGAGTTTGTCTGCCCTGGACTGCAAACAGGGCAATACAGGTCCCAGAGGGGAGAGAGGCCTGACCCAGTGCCCAAAACTTGGGGCCAGCAGAGGGACTGGCCCTCTAGCCTAAAGCCATGGCCATCCCCCCAGCTGGAGATTGCTGCCTCACTGACCTGGGAGGCTCCCCCACAGAGCCCCGCCCAGGCAAAGGATCCCCATGGTGCCTGAATCCCCAGCTGCCTTCTTCCTCCTCATGCCTCCCGGGTTGCTGCCCTTTTACCTGAGGCCCATCTCAGGGGTAGTTCTGAATCCCCAGGCTGATGGGCTGCCTAGAGCCCACAGAAGGTATCAGCTCTTGGGCCTGTCCTTCCTCCTGGGGGTCAGGGCCAGGTTTATAAAAGCAGCTGCAGTCACACAGCAAGTGACCAGCTGGACTTTCTGGCCAGACTTCTGGGTGGTGGGGGTGGGGAAGGGAATGCTACAGGTTGAAGGATACTCCTTTCTGGAGTTTGCCTGGAGAGTCTCTAGTCATCACCTTTCCCAGTGACACCATCTCATTGCTGCTTCTTAACCTGTGTCCACACTGGGGACTGGTGGTGGTGGGCCCAGAGCCTCCTGACTTTGTGATCTGGGTCTTCTGAGAGGAGCAGGTGCAGTGCACACAGCCCAGTAGGTGGCAGCATCAGTCCAAGGCAGTGGTTGGTGGGCTGGGGAACTGCCACCTCTGGAAGGCTGTGGAGGGAAGGAAGCCTAGGACCAATGGCGATGGCAGGGAGGGGTGGGGCAGGCATCATTAAACATACCTGACATCTTGCCAACCTCTATGGAACACATGACATAAGAGAGATTTGATCATCCAGGGTGTGTGTGTGTGTGTGTGTGTGTGTGTGATACAGTACTACCGCCCACTAGTGTGAGCTCATGAGGACCCAGTCTGCCTTGTTTGTGGCTGCATTCCTAGAGCCTAGGATGGAAGTTGGCACACAGTAGGCACTCATAAACATCTGCTTACTGTCAGACCACACGTGGAGGGGATTCCCGAATGGCATAGTAAGGAGCTCGATCCACCTTCCCTTCAGCAAGACAAGTTAATTGAACATTTAAAAAAAAGAAACAATTATTTAAAGTGTCTGGAAATTGTTCTAAGGGTGTACAGAAAATGGGAAAACATTCATTTAAGAAACTCTGCCCACTGGTGTGGCTCAATGGTTGAGCATCCACCTATGAATCAGAAGGTCATGGTTCAATTCCCAGCCAGGACACATGCCTGGGTTGCGGGCTCAGTCCCCAGTTGGGGATGTGCAGGAGGCAGCCAATTGATGATTCTCTCTCAACATTGATGTTTCTATCTCTATCTTCCTCTCCCTTCCTCTCTAAAATGAATATTTTTTTTAATTAAAAAAAGAAAATCTAAGTTTCCACACAGGCAGTAGAATGAGAAAGTGCTGAAAGAAAAAAACAGTCAACCAAGAATTCTATATCCAGCAAAATTATCCTTCAGCTCAGCATTACTCTTCCACAGGCACCACTCACAGGAGGGGACAAAGTTCCTCATCAAGGTCATGTGGATTTGAGCCAAGCCTGCTTGATGCCAAGGTCTGTGCTCCTAGTCACTGCCATTCTGCCTCCCAGGAACAAAAGCCTGGTGTCACACCAACATGGCTGTACAGGCACCTGAGCAGGGTCTGGCGGAGACCTCCAGCCTGCAGGCCCTGAGATGGAGACATTCTAGACACAGAGAAATAGGGCGATGGAAGGACCATATCATCTACAGGTAGCTTGCTGTTGCGGCTAGGGGCCAAGACAAGCTTCACGGATTGTCCCCAAATGTGCAACAGCTACAGATCTTAATGCAAGTAACGGAGACCTGGATCCAGGAGACTCCAAGCCGTGGTTGGGGTGGCTGGACTCCTCTGCCATGGACCATTGCAGAAGCCTTCCTTTCCACTTCCCACAGTGAAACCAGCCCAGAGTCACCTTGGACACCATGAGTGGGCGCCAAATTATTCATTTATTAGACTCAAGTACTTTAGTACAGAACAGTACAGAGATGATACATGTTTGTGCTTCAATACTTTCAAACACTGAGATTCTGATAATTTCAAGGTAAACAAGTTTCAAGACAGACTAGATTTTTAAAATATCCTTTTGATAAATTATGTTTCTATAAATAACAGAGAAAGGAAAACCAACATGTTCAACAAACAAGGTCCTGAAGCATGAGCATTGGTCACAGGGAGGGGACAAAACAAGCAGTAACAGTAAGAAACCAACCAATGCAAGTACCTACAGCTCTGTCCTAAGGAAATAAGATGTCTTAAGGGGAGAGGGGAGACAGACCTGCAAACTAATCTGAGTGCAAAGGGGAGAGAGGTTTCCAAGCCGTGAGGAGAGGACACCACAGGCATCTACCGGGCGGGCGAGGGACATGTTCTGAAAGGAGAGCGGGCGAGTTAAACTAGCACACACCACGTTTGCAACGACATCACGAGACAGGAATATACACGCGGTCTGCAGGAGTAAAAGGGTGGCGGGGGCTGGACAGGGGACATTTTTGTGACTTCCACTGTCATTATATTTCATGACAACAGCAGCAGAACAAACGGTGTGCTCACTCCCAGGAACGAGAACTGCTGAGTCTTGAGGATGACGAGACATCCTGCCTGCATTTGCTTCTTTAAGTTTTGCATTAGAGCTAAGTTTTATACAGCTAGGTTTTTATACAGGGAATAAAATGATCATTTTCTCTACAAGCACAACAACATATGACCCCGCACTACAAAAAATAAAATATCAGGAAGTATCTTCCACTGAGGGTCATCTGAGTGGGCAACGGTCTGTATACATCCCTTGGGCTATGATCCCAGCCATTGGACGTCTTAGGGGACGGGCCCTCTCTACAGGGAAGGCCCTCTGATAGCGTCCTGCAGAGCCCACTCTGTTCTAGTCCCTTCCTGACCCCTGAGCTCTCCCAGGCTGACTCCACTAAGAAAGAGCTTCTCTGGTCAAAAGATCAGGCCTAACCCCTTCTCCAGGAGACCAAGGTCTCCAGGGGGAGCTTGCTCCTTACTGGTTTGGGCAGTGACTTAGACCACAGAGCGACTTCCCTCAGGGTCACAGCGCTGTGGATGCAGCCAGGGAGGGCACGGTGACAAGCTGAACACCAGCCCCCACCCACAGCCACAGCACTGGGGATATGGGCCACTGAGGAAAGCAAAGAGGTGGGTTCCAGCTCCAGCCTCCGAGATGCCACCTGGGCCTCCCTGCCCAGCCTACCTGATGAGAGCAGGCCCTGGCGCGTGGGAACTGGAGTGGACAGAGAGAGCCTCAGTTTGAAATACTCCCGGAACAGACATCTGAGTCCCAATAAGAACAGAAACAACCCAGACAAGTTCTTAAAAACACTCAAGCATCCGCCTTCCCACACTCAGGCAATCTGCACATGTCGCACCAGGTTATGTACAAGGTCACGGAATCATAACGAATGGGGAGGAGGTGTCCATTCATCTGAACAGTCCCAGAACTTCTCCAGCAGCGCGCCACTTACACACGAACCTCTCCTCTCAGGGCACATATAGAAGACAGTCTTTTAAAAAAACACAATGCATTATTTTCTTTTGTTTCAAAGAGAAGAGGGCATCATTAAACACGAGAACGCAGCGGCAACAGCACCGACTAGGGCGTGCAGAGCTGGGAGGCAGGGAGGGACAGAGGGTCAGCAAAGGAACCACTGCGGGCAGCAGGCAGCGGCAGGGCTGCGGAGCACGGGGGGGGGGGGTTCACTTTTTGGAGGGGCAGCTTATTGTTTTAAGTGCTTATTTCTTCATCTGTTTTATTCAGTTTCTTCAGCGTGTCCAGCAGTTTTTGTGGGGTGAGAATCTGCGTGGATCCTGAGGGAGGCAGAGAAGACAGTGAGCTCGCCGGCTCTCGTTCAGGACGCTTTCTCCTTCCCTGCTCCTCGAGGTTCCCAGACCTGCACCCATTCCCCCGCCCAACCCTGGTGTGGTCAGTGGAGGCAGGGAGGGGGTTGGGGATTGGGCTTTGGGGCCAAGTCACATTTGGGGCTGGGAGACATTTGGGGACTGGGGATAAACAAAACATCCTCTGGTTACCCTAGCTGGCTTGGCTCAGTGGATAGAGCGTCAGCCTGCGGACTGAAGGGTCACGGGTTCAATTCCGGTCAAGGGCATATGCCTTGGTGGTGGGCTCGATCCCCAGTGGGGGGCATGCAGGAGGCAGCTGATCAATGATTCTCTCTCATCATTGATGTTTCTATCTCTCTCTCCCTCTCCCTTCCTCTCTGAAATCAATAAAAATATATATATTTTAAAAAAATCCTCTGGCTCAGGCATGGTCCCAGGCCTCCCCCTCAGGGCTCAGCGCCATCTGCAGGACATGAGGCAGCTGCATTTTGAACTCAAGGTGAAGCAGGGAGAGGAATTCCAAACCACATGGCAGGGAAAGGTTGGGAATGGGGCGGGGGCTATGCGGGGGCCTGTGTGTGGAAAGAATGGTGCCTGGTAGGGAGGCAGTTGGTGGGCAGAACACCCTGGGGGAAGCCACTGACCTCTGGGAGCAGATGCTTGGAACTGCCGTGGTGGGCGGGACCTCAGGTGTGAAAGGGAGAGGGCGGGGACCTGAGGCCTTACCTTATAGAGACCGTGCATTGTAAGAGATTAGAAATGCTTGCAAAAATTTAAGCTAATGGAATTAGGTATAACTTCTACCACAAAATAATAAATAAATAAAAGTAAATGAAGTCCTTTTCATAAGGAGAGAGATCTAGTAAGTGCAGTGAAAAAAGATGCATGGATCGTGTGGTTTAGACATGGACATACTCAAACAGAACAGAAGTGGCTGGTGTGTGAGCATGAGGCCTGCACGCATGCAGCAGTGGCCGTCAAAGAAAGATCCTGGTGGGAGAGAAGAACCGAACAAAAGAGACCTGTACTTGAAAATGTGCCTCCCTGGAGATGCGGGTGCAGGCATGGCCTTCATGGGACGAGGGGAGCAGAAACCTCAGGATGCCAGATCCCCGCCCCGAGCGCGGGCAGGCACAGAAGGCTCAGGCTGGCTTGCTGGGCGGGATCCCACACACCAGGGTCCCTGTGCCTCTGACCACTACTTGCTCAGCTGACCCGTGACAGCTGGAGCTGCAGGCCTTGGACCTTCCTGGTCAGTCAAACCAGCAGCAAACTCGTAAAGCCTTCTCTGGTGTGAAGGGTTCCTCCCGACGCCCCATTCCCTGCAGTGCAAGTCTCAGGCACCCGTCACTGCTCAGAGCAGCTACTGCCATCGTGCTGAGTGATGCTCAGGCTGCAGGCCCCAGGCCCCAGCTCTAAAGCCGACTCATTATCCTGCACACTGAGGTTCCTCTGCAAACGTGACAGAGGCTTCAGCAGCATGTCCCCCGGAGTACACATTTCTGTGACTCTACCCATCTTACGAGTCCTAAAGAAAGTCAAAGACTGTCTACAAATGGGGAAGCAGGACTTAAATGTTACAAATTCCTAACAGTGAACAGCTGTGAGAATGAGGGCTTTCCAATTTCAATCCACACGGACTGTGTGTCTACACCCTGAAAGACAGCCCTGTGCTCTGGGTGCAGGGTTAGCTCAAGGGCATCCTAGGTTGAGACAACAGCAGCACAATCGTTCCAGAGAAAACCATCCCTAACACCCCTCCAGGCCATCCACTGACTCCAGGAAGTACAGAGGCTGATCAAGCTAGAGGAAAAGTCAAAAGTCCCAAAGTGCTCCCCCTGCCCTTGCTTCCTTGCAAATTCAGGATTTGGGGGAGGCCAAAAAGAGGTTAAGGAATCCATCACGCTCTAGAATTTTCTGATATTATCTGATCACTGACTATCTGGTGTTCCCAGTCTTTGACTGAAAGAAGAAAACCCAGGACCAAGAGTATTGGGCAACTAGAGAGGCCTGTAGGACTCTGTGCCAGGCACGGTGCTGGGCCCTCGCTCACTGGTCTCTTTAAAGGACACAGAGCAGCTGAGTGCCCATTCTTGCCACCCAGTCATCTGTATTGCTTTAATACTTGGTTAGGCTTTCCACCACCACAAATATTGCTAATTGAGTGGGGTGGGTTTAAACCACAATTTGCAAATGTTCTCTTTGAACTCACAGGTAGCTGACCACATAGGCCCTTTAGAACAGCAAGCGGGTCCCACTGCTCTGAGGGTCCCTCTAAGTCTACATAACTGGAAGGTTGAGAAATGTGAATGGGGTTTCCAAGAACAGAGTCATCCAAAAGACTGAGCGCTGTGGGCAGACACAGATGTCTGCTGGGACAAAACCCTTCTTTCACTGGCTGGGTGCTCAGTTGGTTAGAGCATCATTCTGCTATGACAAGGTTACAGGTTCTACCCCCAGTCAGGGCACATACAAGAATCAACTGATGAATGCATAAGTGGAGCAACAAATCCATCTCTCTCTCTCTCTCTCTCTCTCTCTCTCTCTCTCTGTCTGTCTCAAAATCAATTCAAAAAACACACCTTGCAGTAAATGCCATCCACCCACCTGCCACCTGCACACAGAACTAGAAGCTCTGATTCTGATTACCCACCTCCCAAAATGCTTCGAAACAATGACTGTTTATTCAGTGCCCACAGGTTTGGCTTCCCTTGGGAAGGAGCCTGGGCAGAATGGGAGGTACTCAGGCCATAGCCAGCCCCAGTGTCCTGGCTCATAGCCCCCTGCTATTTCTCACCTTCATATCAACCTTCCAGGTTTCCTAGCCAAGGTGCTGATGGCTTTCCCCTGAGGTCAACAGGGAGCCGGGAATGGGTAGGGCTGCATGGCTTGAGTCACCAATCTGAGGAGGAGCCTTGGGACCCTATGGTCCAGCCTCCCTGAGGTCCATACACTGTGGCCCAGGAAGTGGGAATGACCTAGTCATAGGTCCTCGTGGCAGAGCTGGGGCCGGAGTCCAGGCCTCCCCACTGCTCAAGGTGACTCACATTCTGAAGACTCACTGGGCCACGGCTCAGCCCAGGGGGAGGGGACATTTTCAGGGCCCATGTCAATGGAGTCTATGAAGCCAGGTACACAAACTGTGGCCTCATCACAGAACGGGCAGCGAAGCTAAGGCCTGAGTAACGTTCCAGTGGAGTTCTGGATCAGTCTGCCATTTAAACGCATCAGAGGAGGTTCCCAGCACGTAGGGAGAACGGAAGGAGAGAGGAGGGGATGAGGACAAGAACAAAATCTGGATAATCTACTGAACAGAAGCGGGTTCCTGGGTGACAGAGCAGGTGCAGTGCGGTGGGAGAGCGATTTCTACCCAAAGGCTCTCAGCACGAGAGGCTTCAGTGGGTGGGGAGGGTGATTACTCAACTCTCGGAAGGATCACAGGAGGTTAAAATGAAAGCAGTTACTGAAAGAGCAAATGGCTAATAAGTGCCCTTTCCCCAGAGGAACATGAGACAGGAGCTCTTCCCGTGGCTGCGGGAGCTCACCAAGTACATGGTGGTCCGTGACCCCTTGTTCTCCGGGCTAAGTGCTGTCCGGGAAAGCGGCACTTACATGTCTCACTACCACTGACTCGGAGTCTACTCTGATGCTCTCCGCAGAGCCTCCCCCACAACCGGGCACCCAGGGGTGTCCCTGGGAAGCCTGCTGGCCTCATGCTCAGGTTCCCACCCCACGCCCCAACCTGGACAAGGTGCTCTCTTCCTGGTGCCCACAAACGCATCCCTGAGCACCAGGCGTGGGCGCGACCCTCTGGCATCCCTCAACCCCGCTGGAGGGCTGCTCACAGCATTATTCCCATTCTCAGGTTAAAACCCCGGGGGCTGTGCTGTGGGCTGAGCAGCAGGGGACCCAGGGCAGGAGAGAGCCCACGGGCCGGCCCGGAGGCTCCGTGGCCAGTGGGTGAAGGCAGCATCGGACACATTTTCAATCGGTGTTAAGAACTGCAAGCATTTTCTTGTTAAAGGAAAATCAAATAAATAATAAACTAAAAACAGAAAAAATAAAAAGAGTGACGGAATAATCAAAGAAAGCCCTTCAGAGAGGAAGAGTTTCTTTTCTGTGATAAGCTGCTTTTACTTTGTTTCTTTGGCTCTCACTCCATTGTTGGAGCCTGATCCTCAAAAGATACCCTAGAGGACTCCCTGAAGTCGGGGTGTCTCAGGTCCATGAGAAATTTGGTGGGAGTAAGAATGTGAGTAGAACCTGCGGGAGAACAGAGGCCAGCTGACTGCTTGAACAAAGGTACGGAACAGGAACATGCCAACTTAGGCCTACGTTTTATGCAGCCAGTGAGATATGAGAAAGCAAGACACGCGCACGCGCACGCACACAGGCACGCACACAGGCACACGCACTGCAAGGATGGCTGGCATGCACAAAAGCAGGTGAGGCCACACAGCGGACATCAGCTGTCTGAGCGAGACCCCTCCAAAAATCTGTGGGTCACTTCATCTCCCCAGGTTATAATATACCACCTCCCAATGGGGAACCTCAGGTCAGGGCCAAAGCTGAAGATGGAGATTTACCCCCAAGCCCGGCTCTGACAGCTTCTGCCCAGGAAAACTGTGTTTGAGCTAAGAATTATCCAACACACGCATGCAACACATATGCAAGCAGGGAGCAGAGAGCTTCATCTCGGGGGCCTACGTAACGAACGGGAAGGAACAATACAGGGAGAAATGGCGACCAGACGGGGGAGCTCCAGGGAGCGGGGACGGGAGGAAGAATGTCTAATCTCCCCCCTGAATGGTGCTTCTGGGTCCATCTTGAGACACCAGGGACACCTCGTGACTGGTGTGTAGAACCTGCTCCTCTGAGAGCCTGGGGGGCACCGTGACTTGGCCACTCCAAAGGAGAGGCACGAAGCTGACTCGTCTTGTCGAGTAAGGGGAGAGGGCAGGACCCGGCCAGGTAGTATGTGCCGGTAGCCTCTTGCCAATTACTGTCAAGAGGCATCCGGGCAAGTGCCACTCCATTTTGTTAAGGGAAAAGAGGGACTGAGGAAAACGTGGAGAAAGCAAGATTTTTCTCAGCTCCCTCTTTCTCTTCCAACCCTAGAACTGTGGGCGTGCCTACACGCATGATAAGGAGAAACACCGCCCGCTGCGTTAAGTCAGCTCCTGTGAGTTGCTTCCTTTCTTCTGGAAAACCATCAGGAAATCGCAGACAGGGTGTGAGAGACCGGGAAGCAGTAGGGCCGAGGGGAACCCTGGGCAGAGGCCAGCACGCCTCGGGCAGTATCTGCTCACACGCGTGTCTGGTCTGTCCCTCTGACGGAGAGGTAAGGGGGGTCAGAGTTTACCTCCTTTTTACCGAGCACCTCGGTGTGAGGCCCAATGCCAGGACACGGACAAGTCCCACCTTAGGTCTAGTTTGGGCTGTAAGTGGGTGTTCTTAACCTGTTTGGTTGGATAAGGAGATGGCAGCCTGGAGAGGTGGGGCGCATGCCCAGGCGACCCACAGGCAGGGGCAGAGCAGAAAGTGGGCCTGGGCTGCTGGAGTCTGTGTCAGGCCCCTCCCACCACACGCAGACACGAGGAACCTCGCCCCTTAGCTTTTGCCGACCATGAACAGCTCTAGAGATGACGGTTGGCAGGGGCAGTGGAGTTGAGGACAGAATGAAACACCAAAGCATGGAATGGAGCCCAGTGCGGAGAAGCAGCCCCCTCCCCCTGGGAAACAGGCCCACTCACCTATCAGCACTTCCCACTTGCCGTTGGCCTGGGTCACCTCGTAGGCGCAGCGCATCTCGCTCAGGCTCACGCCTCCCAGGATGAAGATGATGAGGCGGGGACCACTGCGGTACTCGCCCGGGGCCTTGTTCTTATGCCAGTGCCCATAGCGGGCGCTGAGGGGGGCAGGGGAGAGATTAATAGTGTTCACCCGCACTCAAGTACCTGTACTTCATACCTGCGTGACGCGTTTACATGTTTGTCCGTACACAGTGACACAGAGAAGCTGCGTAGTGAGTGTTGTGAATGAATCGCAGTGGGGCCGGGAGCAGAACTGCTACGAGCGCCCTGCTGCCACCTGTCAGTCTCTTAGAAACATGTAGGCAGCAGCCAGGTTCAGGTCGGCTTTACTGTTTGACATGCTAAGTTCAACAGCTCCGCCGGCGTGCTATTCGTCCAGGAGTCTACCCCCGGGGGTACACGTTCCTAGCCGTGAATGGGCACTCTGCTTGCAGTGAGCAGGAACAGCAGAGCCAAAGGAACAGCAAATGTGCACAGATGCCTCCCTGGGCCAGGGCCTCCTGCACTGAGAGGAAGGGCCTTGTGGGCGGGTGGCACTGTCAGGGCCGGCCTGCACCTGGCTGCGATGAGCACAGCGGGAGGGGCTCACGGCCACGTGGTATCACAACGGGACTGCTGTGCAGCTGACAGGCCACCAGGGCCAGTCCCCTCGCTGCCGCCTGCCTGCTCGGGGCGTCTCACCTGACGGCAGTGGTGCTGAAGGAGGCAGAGGAGCGGGTAGAGATGTAAGGGTAGTGCTTGGTATCGAGCTTGTCCTCAATGGTGTCCTGGAAAGAAAAGAGACTGATGTTGCCCAGCCTGTGTGGCTCAGTGGTTGTGTGTCGACCCATAAACCAGGAGGTCATGGTTTGTTTCGGGTCAGGGCACATGCCTGGGTTGTGGGCTCAATCCCCAGTGTGGGGCGTGCAAGAGGCAGCCGAGCAATGATTCTCTCTTATCACCGATGTTTCTATCTCTCTCCCCTCTCTCCCTCTCTGAAATCAATACAAATATATAAAAAGAAAAGAGACCGATGTTAGGTCTGCCACCTGCTAGAAAAGGGCTGACGGAAGCCAGGTGAGAATTCAAACAAGTCACTTAGTGAAAACCATGCCAGGTTTGCAGCATCCAGACCCCTCCCTGCTCCCGCTGCTGCTGCCACTGCCCAGGGCAGTGCCTGTGTGGAGAGGATGCTCCAGAAGCAGCCGACGTGCTGAGATTAGTCTGTAGGTCTGTTCATTAAGAGAAATTTTTAAAAATTGCATTGATTTTTCTTGCTTCGCTTCCAATGAATTCTTTTTTCTCCCTCTTTTACATTCTATGTGAGACTGTGCTGTATCCTGTCCCATAAATTCCTGACACCATCAGTCTTGTAGACACTAGGCACAGGCAGTCTCTCAGGCAGGAGAAAGCCTTCCACCCTCAGTTGCCCAAGGGGCTAATTATCTGGTGGGTGGATCCCAGCTCCCCACCTCCTGCTGCCTAGAAACCTACACTCCCCCTACCAGTTACCATGCAAAGCATACACATCTCCCTGGGGGTCCGGGAAGGAGGGGCAGAAAAGGGAGCAGAGAACAAAGGAGGGATGAGACAGGGGCTGGCTTTATCTCTGCAGCAAGCCAACAATTGTCTTTGGTTTCTAGATGTCTCATGTTCACCCAGCCTTTTGGTTGTGAGTTTTAAAAACAGGAAGCTGACTCACTGTATATATTTAAAATACATTTATTTTAACGTACAATTCAGTACGAACACCTGCTCTGCTATGAGTCAACAAAGGGATCCTGAGCAAGTCTCTTCATTCTCGGACCCCAGTCCCATCTGCCTGTCAAGTGAGGAATTGGACAGATTAGCTCTAATTCCACCCCCAACATCTAGCAGGTGGGATTCCACGCAGGCTTCCCTGACCTACAAGAAGAGATGGGAAGGACAGGCACCTAACAAACGTGAAACACCTACTATGCACAAAGCATGGGGCCAGAGGACGCAGCAGTTGAGGGCATAGAACTAAGGTATAAAAAGATGAGCCAAACACCAACCGGCATACGTGCTCAAATAACCCCCCTAACATAGGCTCCTGGAGTCCAGGCGGCCTCTGTGGGGCGGGTTAGCCAGGTGGGGTGGTGGGTGGCACAGTGAGAGGGGATGGGGACTTTGAAGGAAGAGGCTTCAGGAAGCGGGAAGGAGAGCGAGAACATTCCAGACAAGGGGTGGGTTTGAACAGAAGAGTAGAAGCAGAAATATCCTTGGCACGGTCTCTGGTTAGCATGGAGGACTGAGGGATGGGATAAGTGGGAGAAAGGGGGCAGGCTGGGCTCACATTCCAGAGGCCCACCCACACCTCAGTATGGAACTCGCTACTCATGGGACCTTTTGGTGCTGTGATCTGTTGGGTTCCTCTGGGTGCGGTACCACTGAGGGGTCTCTGCCTCCTGCTGCCTAGAAATCACGTGGTCTTGGGACCTGCGCCTGGCCGTCTGTTGGGCCTGCTCTTCACCAGCCCCAGGACAAGACGTGCTATGAGGCCTGAGAGAGCTCCGGAAGCCAGTCCTTCGGGTGTCACTGCCCCCTGCTAGGGGGTGAAGCTGGAAGCATCAGGCCTTTATGTGAAGAGCCCTGGGCCTGGCGTCAGTCTCCACCCCTCCCCCCACCACATCACTGACCTCCATGATGTCTTTAATAATCGGGGTCCATCGTGACAGCTGGTAGGTCTGCTCGCTGATGCGCTCCTTCCGTTCTGGCTTGCTCCTGCGACGCAACGTAGACTGAATGCAAACGTAAAGATTAGACTGTCAGGCCACATGGACCCAGGACCCCTGCTGGCCTCTGGAAACCCTCTCCCAAGGCCTCCTTCCAGAACGGCAGCACGGCAAACTCTAACGAGTGGGAGTGTTTTCCCTGGAAAAGCCAAAAATATGCCCTTCTAGGAACTGGAGCAAAGTTGGTTCTTTCTTTTCTTTTTGTTTTTTTTTAATATTTTATTTTTTTATTCTTATTTTTTTGTTAGTCCTCACCTGAGGATATTTTTCCATTGATTTTTAGGGAGAGTGGAGGAGAGAGGGAAAGACAAAGAGAAACATCGATGTGAGAGAAACACATCGATTGGTTGCCTCCTGTACCAGGGCCTAGGCCGGGGAGGAGCCTGCAATCAAGGTACGTGCCCTTGACCTGAATCAAACCTGGGAACTTTTGGTCCACAGGCTGACACTCTATCCGCTTAGCCACACTGGCTAGGGCTTATTTTTTAATATTTTAAATTGATTTCTAGAGAGAGGAAGGAAGAGGGAGAGAGAGGAGAAACATTGATGTGAGAGCAAAACATTTATTAGTTGCCTCCTGTGTGCCCCATACCAGGGATCAAGCCTGCATATGCCTTGAATGAAAATCGAAGTGGCAACCTTCTGGTGCACGGGACAATGCCCAACCAACTGAGCCACACCAGCCAGGGCCAAAGGTGGCTCTTTAAAGTCATGGCAAATGCAGGTCAAATTAAAAAAAAAAAATCCAGGTAGTTAAAAAAAAATAGTTTGCTGTCGACTGACACCAGGAGAAAACACTACTTTGGGTATGGCTTACTCTTTGATTTTGTTTCAACAGCACAGGATGTACTGAAGGAACCGTCTCCATTCTCACTGTGGTCCCTCTTGTGAACATGGGTCTAAAAATGCCAGTTACAGGCCTCTGGTCTGGTGGCTCCAGAACAGCATCTGCAGCTCCAGCTTGGTCAGCACTGTGGCAGACTGACCGCCACAGGAGGAACCCCCACCGGGTCCCTGCCTGGAGGCTCCTAGCGGGGTGCTGTGAAGAGTGCTCAGGACTCTTCCTCATCCTGGGCCCCCACCCCCAGCCTCTCCTAGAGCCCACTGTGGGCTGGGCCTCCCGGACAAGCTGCCCTGACTTGGTCCTGGACCAGTGGCAGTGTTGATTCTCATGGAAGAAGCTGCGTCTAGTGTCCAAAGGCAGAGCCAGGCCGACCTGCAGGCGCGGCTCCTGCTGTGGGCTGGTCCACAATACGGCTCAGCTTTGGCGCTGTGCTCCACGCCTGCCTGTGCACATCGCGGCTCCTGGCGCTAACCCTGTTACTCATCTCAGCATCTTTATTTCTCTGATTTTACCTGCTCTCTCTTTCTCAGTGTTGAGTGTGTGCCTCATAAGCTGCCTAAGTAAGTTAGGGGAGAAGAGAAAAGACCCACCGGCTTCCCTACTGCCCCCCCCGCACCCCCCCCTCCAAAGGCTGGCCCTTACGTCGGTGACGATGGGCACGCCCAGGTGCGCCATGTTGGTGATGATCTCGCTGTCCTCCGGGGGGATCTGGGCGTGCTGGATCAGTTTGTTCAGGTTTTCCTCAGTGATGCCTGAGAGAGCAAAACCCGTCACCACACCCGCCACTGCACAGTGCACACTCAGAGGCCCAGCCCACCGCCTGGCGGGAGGGGGACAGTGCCCCTTCTCCTCAGCATGGGTGGAAGTTAACCTGCTCATTGCAGCAACTTTACCGTAAGGCGAGGACAAGATCAGGACTCCTGTTCCACGCTAACCACCCATCCCGGGCTGCAGCCATCGGCAATTGCCCCTCAGGGTCTATGTTTCCCTCGTCTCCTGCTCCTCAGCCACCCCTGCCCCCTGGGCCCACATCAAGGTCAACATGGACAGGAGTCTCTGTGCCCATCTTTTTGCACAATGGACACATGTGGGCAACTATGATGGGGTAAAAATCAGTTATTTAAAGGCACAGACTACAAGTGTGGTGCGAGTTCAAGGTGTCTGGCAGACACGCTCCCTGCTTTAAGGGCCCCCCCACTGGCCCTAGGTCCTCGGCTGTGAGTCCCAGACCACGGGTTAACCCTAGAACTACTGGGGGCACAGCCGCCAGTGGAAACTGATTTGTCTGCGTTACATTTCCCCAAACGTAAAGAGCCCCTGGGATCTTCCTGTCAAATACCCTTCCACTCCTTTGACACCACTCTTCCGCCTGCTTGGTCCCCCCAGCTGCCCTCCTCGAGCCCACCACTCCTACCATTCTTGAGAAAGATGTAGAGGAGGATGATGCGGATTTTGTCGTAAGTGCTGACATTTGCGTCCAGCAGAATGGGGACGATGGCTCTCATGGGGTCCTTGATCTTCTCGCCTTCAGCATCCGTGCCCATGGCCAGGTCCTGCAGAAACACGCCACGTTGGCCCCACTTCTGGTGACAGTCTGGGTAGACGGTAACTATTGAGAAACTGCGGGTCCGTAATGTCTGGGATTGTGGCTGGGTTGGGGACGGTCCTGAGCAGGTACTTCCACTCTCACGACGCCAGCTAGCACCCGGATAACTAGCACCGCTTTCTAGACCATCCAGGTTTCACTTTCGATGATTTGCCACCTTGTTTACAGGTCACTGTTCCCTTCCGGAGGTGCCAGTGAACCTGTGCCAGCCTCAGGGGAAGCTTCGAGCCAGGGCAGCAGGCTCAGCCCATCAAGAACTATTGGTCCTGTTGTGGCTGCAACTTCCTCTGTGGTTCCCTTTTTTCCCTCAAGATCCCAGGAGTTCATAACAATTATGACCTCAAGTTCATGGCCTCTTCCCAGTCTGGGTGGGAGGAAGGCAGGGCACCTCTCCTAGGCCCCTTCACCTCTCAGTCCCACCACCAGCCTCACGGATGTTTGTTCAGCAGGACCTGATTCTAACACTTTCCAAAAGGCAAATTAAATGTAACTAGTTCACCAAATACTACTGCGCACTCTGCAACAACTTAACTTCCGAGGGCTGATCCCGACTGCGTTGTTACTGATGCAGAGATAACCCACCCTCTGGCGGTGAAGGCCTTTTGGAGAGGACGCCTTGTCTGCCAAGATCCCCTGGGAAACGGACGGGTTTAGCCGGGCTGCGTCCATTCGAAGAGAGGCAATGAATCGGGGCAGGTCTCTCAAACCTAAGCTGAGCCCATCCTATCAAACCAGAAGATGTAATCTCAGCATCTCACTGAGAACTTGAGCTGTTTTTACTGTGAAGAGGGGCCTTCTGCTGAGGCCTCAGGATGGCTGAGTGCTCTCTCCCCCCCGAGAAGCTGCCCCTGGCAGGGTCATGTTATCACAATGGAAGAACTGAGTGCCAGCTTACTGACCCCACACCACACCACACTCCCAGAAGTCATGGCAGCATGGCATTTCCCTTTGCAGATGAGGAAAATACAGAGAGAAATGGGCACAGCAAACAAATCCGTGACAGAGACACAACTAAAATCCCAAACTCTGACTGTATAGGCCTAACTGCGATCAGTGAGGCGGGGGCGAATTCCCCACTTGCTACTGCACTACCCGAGGCCTCCGAAGCTGCCGTGGCTGCAGCAGGAGGAAATGCATTCGGATCTAAACTCAGCCGGCCCCGCCTGTAGGGCTCAGAAACTTTGGAAAGCCAGACATGCAAAATCCACACGGCATGGCCTTCCAGACCATCCAGTCCCTACCCTTGAGAGTGTGCGGCACTGGCTCGCGAGGTGAGACCACACGATCCCGTAGGTTTTCCCATCTCTACTTCCTATGATTCTGCAGGATGTTCAAGGTCAGAGGTTAAACTTCTGCTGGGTACGTGGTCATGGCAGGAAGAGAAGGAAAGGGTCCTACCTGCTCCACCCGGCAGAGCTTGTCCACGGTGCCTTGGTAATGCTTCATGCAGTCCTCGGCAAGATGCAGGTGGGTGGAATACTAGGAAAAAGCAGTTTGTGATCAAGAATTACTCACTGATATGTGTGCCACCCACCTATGATGCATAAACACTGGGCCAGACACCAAGGAATCACCAGCCTCATGCAGGCCGCACACAACCACCGCAAGGCAGGGCATTATGTGTCAAGAGAGAGGGACAACCACACTCAAAGGGTCAACAGGAAGGAGGAATCCTTCGTGGGTGGGATGGGGTGGGATGATGGCTGCACAACGTGCCCACAAATTCTTCGACATTACTCCCTCCAGGAGGAGGAGCTAAGCTCCCCCCTCCTCGAGTGTGGGCTGGATTTAGTGACTCGCTTCTAAGGAACAGTGCGGAGGAAGCGATGTGTGATGTCCCGCATCAGGACCGGGAGGGCAGGTGACTTCTTTCCAGCTCTCTCTCCCGGGTCACTCACTCCGGGGAAGCCAGCTGCCATGTTGTGATGACACTCAGGCAGCCCCGTGGCGAGGTTGATGGAAGAGGAATAGGAAGAATAAAGAGAAAAAGATGAAGAGGAGAAAAGTCCTAGGAAAGAAGCTGTCTACCCCGGCCTCCCATTTTTGTCTAGTAAGAATGGAAGATGACTGAAGATCCGTGGATGTCAATGAACCAGTCAGTGTGCTAGGACTCTGAGACGCCTTTCTGAAGCTCATTACACTCACGATCCCACTCGGTCACGTTGGATCGCCATACCTTGCTGAGCTCTTTCTGGTACTGGGGCATTTTCTTCAGCATCTGGGACAGGTCCCGCATGGTGGTCTGTAAGGAAAGGAAAGCAGACGGTCTCACGCCCGTGGCCCTGACCTAGGAGGCTGAGCAAGTGTGGTGGGCGCAGGACAGGACAGCAACCAGCACCGAAGCCCCTAGTGTGTTCTGTAACTCTCAAAAGGAATCCATTACACACAAGATCATGTGTGTTCAGACTGCCAAGCTTCTGCTCAAATAATTATTGACCCAAATAGCATGACTGTCTTATGGGTGGAGAGCTGAACTCCGGGGCCCAGCAGTTATGTTTTATTTGTTGGAGTAGACAGTTACTGAGAGCATAACTCTTGCCAGGAAAGAACACATTTTTGTCCATCCACTGCCTCTCTGCACCCCCAGCTTAAGCTCTCTTGGCATCACGTTCATGTTGAAAGGCTGCAGCTGAGTAGACAGGGGGCAGTAGGGAGAAGGTGAAAAGGCTGGAATCTGCATCCTGACAGGTGAAAGGGGTCTGCTTACCCTCTAACTGTGCGACCCACCTAATCCCGCTCACTTATCCAACAAGAATTTATTGAATTACTACTACATTCCAGACACTTTTAGGTGCTGGACATACAAGTACTTTTGCCTTGAAGAGCTCACGTTTGGCGGGGCCTGTCCCGTTGAGTGGCCTGGCTCTCTCTGAGGGTGTCAGTGTGGTGCACAGAGCAGAGGCACATCACCAGTCTGGGGAGGAGCAGGGAAGGTTCCTGCTCCTCCCCCAGAAACAATACCCGACCTGGCTGGTGTGGCTCAGTGGATAGAGTGTGTCACATTCACCAAGAGATCACCAGTTCAATTCCCAGTCAGGGCACATACCCAGGTTGCAGGTTCAATCCCCAGTAGGGGGGCATGTAGGAGGCAGTCGATCAATGTTTCTCTCTCACTGATGTTTCTCTCTCTCCCTCTTTCTCAAAAAATCAATAAAAACATTTTATTTTATTTTTAAAAATATATTTTATTGATTTTTCAGAGAGGAAGGGAGAGGGACAGAGAGTTAGAAACATCAATGAGAGAGAAACATCTATCAGCTGCCTCCTGCACACCCCCTACTGGGGATGTGCCCACAATCAAGGTACATGCCCTTGACTGGAATCGAACCCAGGACCCCTCAGTCCGCAGGCCGACGCTCTATCTACTGAGCCAAATCGGTTAGGACTAAAAACATTTTAAAAACAAAAAAAAACACGACACCTGAGCAAAGGACTGGGATTTCACAAGGCAAGGCCCAGACAAGGAGCTCAGGTGTGGCTGGAGGAAGGCGGTGGGAAAAGAAGGAGGGAGACAGAGATGTCCGAGACCAGAGAGTCTCTGGAGCCTGAGGACCCAGGTTCCATAGATGTGTCAGCAGGTGGAGCTTGATTCTCCTGGGAACGGGAAGTCGATAAATGGTTTTAAGCCAGGGAGTGACACAATCAGAGCTCATCTCCCTCTGCTGATGGGTAAGCACCTCTGTAAACAGCAGGATAAGGAGAGGCCCAGGAAAGTTAGGTCATGAATTCTAATTCCTTCACAAGCTAAAAAAGGCTTCACAGTTCTTCCGGCTTAAAATGAATCATGATCCAAAACAGCAAATATGGATCCGCAGAGTAACAGAAAGAAGCTCTCTATAAATATCAGAAGACGGGGTCTGGATCTCAGTCTTGAATGCAAAAGTAAGACAAAACGATCACGGATGAAGGGAGGACTATGGCCCCAGCTCCCCAGCTCCCCAGCCTGATGCCGGGGAGGCGTCCTCCCTGCTCCTGGGGAGAAAGCAGGTGGGCTCACCTTCTCCCCCGTGTTCATTCTCTTGCTGGAAGAAAAATCTTTCAGAGAACGGGTGACTTCCCTGGAAGACAGAAGAAGGCAGCTAAGTCTCAAAGCAACACCAAGTGCCTCTGTATGAGTGACATTGGAATAATGCAAGAGTCTTCCTTTAGGAAAATGTGGTGACTTCTCCTGTCATAAGGGACGCATTTCCAGTGACTTTCTGAGAGACAGACAGACAGACAGTGTTTTTCTAGCTAATATTCTAAACAGGGTTCTCCAGAGTGGGGTGCATGAGATGATTCCAGAAGAGAGAAGAAAATATTAGGACATCTACTTATGCTTATTTTACTTCATCCTTTTCAAATTTATGTTTTTGTATATGCTATAAAATATACTTTACAGATAAATTTAATTAAATGTAAATACTGGAAATGTGAACCAACATTTTCTAAAGTTGAGTGATCCCCAAAGTGTGGAGACCACTTCTCAACAGCAGAGCTATCCAAGACTATTATTTTCTCACTCTTCCCTGTGAATTTCCTGAGGATATCACCAACTCAATGTGGCAGAATGTGTCTTTTTCCAAAAGCAGAATTGTTTAAAGGTCTTATAACAACGTTTACATGTGGGAAACATTTTGAAACATTTTCAGAGCAAAGTCTGTTCTGTGTGTGGAAACAGTTCTTGCTCAGAAATTTTAGGTATGACCACAGAAGAGGAAGATCACACACCAGCTACATAAGAGAGAACTGCATGGTGGGGTCTGGACCTTTAAATGGAACAAACTCTTTTACATACTTAGTGTTTATAAAGCACTAGAGGCCCAGTGCACAGATTCGTGCACCAGTGGGGTCCCTCGGCCTGGCCTGCAGGGATCGGGCTGAAACTGGCTCTCCGACATCCCCCAAGGGGTCCCAGATTGCGAGAGGTCACAGGCTAGGCCGAGGGACCCCACTGGTGCATGATCGGGGCCGGGGAGGGACCACAGGAGGGCTCCAGGGTGTGTCCAGCCTGTCTTGCCTGGCCCGACCCCAGCAGCAAGCTAACCTACCGGTTGGAGCATCTGCCCCCTGGTGATCAGTGCACAGCATAGCGACTGGTTGAATGGTCGGACACTTCGCATATTAGGCTTTTATTATACAGGATTTTGCTGAGAGGTACAAATGCTTTCCAAAAATCCTAAAGTCCCCCGAACACAGAATGAATTTTCTAACTTCCTGAAGCTGGTGGAGCCCTAGCCAGGGATCAGAAGGGATTTATCATCAGAGGTTAGCATGTTGGCCACTTTGCTGAGGCAGCGAGTTCATCGCTGATGCGCTCCACCCCAGCTGCCCAGAGCGCACACTGGAAACCATCCTGGGGAGAGAGAAACGCCTCGCCCTGGAGGAGGGCGGGAGGGCTCTTACTGGGACACCTCTGCGATGTGCTTGTGGCGCAGCGTTATCCAGAGGTCGTCGTCCTCGTCCAGAAGCACTTCCTTCACCCGCGCCTCTCCGATGCCGCTCGTCTCATACCTAGAGAGGGGAGGGCCCACAAAATCCATCCAAGTCCCCTCTGGTTTGCAACAGACAAGAGCTCACAGTCCTCAGAGGACAGATGTCCCCAGGAATGACTTTACAAGCTCCATGACCATCTGGTGTCTGCGGGATGGGCACTAATGGCTGCAGTTACTCGGGCAGAGAGCTCCAATCAAGGTCAACTGACACGGGGTTCCGTTTTAGATGCTTCAGGGTCAGCTGACGTGAGTGCCACCTGAGCCATGTGGCTCGGGTGTGAAGTCAGGTTATAGGTGAGTTACAAGGGAAAGACAAAGATCACCCTTTGTCCCTCTCTCAGAAAGGCCTGAGCACCATCCTCCAATGCGGGGTGCCTGACACCTTCAGCAGTGACCTGCACAGGCCTTCGGCCTAGGACGCCTGTGAAAGCATGAACATCGAAGGAAGGCAAGAACCAGAGGTGCTAAAGGGAGAAGAGCAGAGATCCACTCAGAGTTCCAGAACCTTCATTCACTACCCTTATGATCAATGTAAATGACATGAAAGCAGTGCAGTCTGTTTCCATAAAAATAAAGATTAGTTTTTAGAAACTGAATTTCTAATGATTGCTACCAAGAAAAATGTTTATAATGAAGGAAACGGCTCCTCTGCAAATGAGTTCGGTAAGAAACTCCTGTGGATGTATCTGTCATCATATTTGATGATCTGCAAGTAAGATTCAACTCTGAAAAAGATCCGCACACATGCCCAAATCGACGACATACTGACACGAGAGCAGACTACAGAGCTGGGAACTAAAGTCCTTGTTCTCCCCAAAGGGGCCCGGGTTCCTGGCTAGAAGCGCCATGAGGATTTTGGGAACTCACAGACAAGCTTGCAGGCTAACTGACAAGACTATGGAAACACCCACTTTTCCTAGGATTGGTGATGCCCTTTTCCTAAGTCAGAGGTTGTATCTGGTTCGTTTGCAAAGCTGCAGTCCCTCCGAGTGGTATACTTACTTGTACACATCATTCTCGATAGGCAGCAGATCGTAACTCATAGCCTGAAAGGTCAGCTCATGAAGAACAGGGGAACTGGGGTCGAAACCGCGGTCCAGGATCAGGAGCTGGGAGCGAGCCTTGTCTGGGCCCTAGAAGGAAGGACACGGGGGACTTTCACAAGCCACTCCACACAGTGCTGGCTCTGCACCACGCATGGCCCTCCTGTAAAGGGGGCAGCAGGAAGTGAACTCGGAGACAAAACCTACTGAAATAGCACGGAACACAGTCCCTTTACTGCTTGACCAGAATACCAGTCCACACCGTGTGAGAGAGAACCCAGGATGTCTGTTTCATAGCGAGTGTCCTTTGAAGCAGATCTGAAACGGTGGCTGGTCCAAGGTGAGCTCACAAAGAAGAGCACCACTGGGTTCAGCTACGAACGGGTGGCCCACCAGGCATCTGCCCGGGCCGAGGGGTTCCAGGCCCTGGGACTTGTGGCTGTAAACCCGAGATGATGAGAACTCTGCCTTGACTGCAGTGGGCTTACAGGAATCCATACATGTGATTCAATTAAATAGAACTCACACACACACACACACACACACACACTCACATACACACTCACACACACGAGTACATGTGCAAACTAGTGAGATCTGCACAAGGTCCGTTTTCTGGGGTTGACATTGTTCTACGGAGGGGGTTCCCAGGACGCAGGGCTTTCAGTGCTAAATCTGGGGTCGTCCCAGAGAACAGAAACGAGTCGTCACCCTGGCTACACTGACCAGAGTCTCCATCGGCCTGCCCAAGGGGCGGAGCATGTCACCAGAGGCCACGAGCAGGGACAGCGGCACTCACATCACCCGGTGAGAGAATCCCGTGGTCCGCGGCCACTTACCTCGCCCATGGTGGGGTCGTCAGCTTTGTAGGCGTCGAGCTTGTCCTGGATTAGCTGGGCCAGCAGAGCATTGTCCTTGTACTCCCTGCCGAGGAGGAGAGACACGTGACGGGCCTCGGGAGAGAGGCAGGACAGTGCAGGCAGGTCAAGGGGCACGCAAGTTTCACCTGCATTGCTCTTTTACAATGAGGATATAGACACATATGCGTGTATAATTAAAAAGGACAAACAGAATCAAATATTTAGCTCTGTTCCTGGAACAGAAATGAGTGAAAAGCAGCTTCCGATGAGCAGCCCCACATCAGCAGAGGGTCCTGACCATCCGTCCGTTCCCCGGGATCGGCCATCTGAGCCTGACCCACCTGAGTCTCACTTCCCTTGACTCAAATCCCCTTGGGTCTTGTTTGCTAGCAAGTGAGAACCTCTGAACCTTACCCTGGGCTCAGCCTGACAGCGTTTCCGGGGCCCCACCCGCTGTACACAGTGTGTGGTGCTGCCTGCCACCTGGCCAGGCTCAGGCTGAAGCGCCTCTGCTCCTAGCCCAGCCCTCCCACGAATGAACTCCAATCCGCCACTCCTCTGTCAGGGGAGATGGCCTCGGCCCCCATTTCCAGCTTTTGTCAGGGAGCACCAACAACAGAGGGGTCAGACGCTGGGGCAGACCAAGGGAGGTGTCATTCTACGGTTACACGTCCAGCAGACAAAGGCAACAGGCTGGGTGGAACACTGACCCCGCACTCCAGGTTCAGGCCCTCAGCTCCTCTGGCTCCAGTTTCTCCTCCCCTGACTCCTGCGTTCACTCCCCCGTCAACCCCCCAAAGGTTTCCTGGGGACAGCCACTGAAGGACCTAATCCCAAAGCTGGCATTGGAGGCCTCCAGAAATGGCCCCATCTCGCCCTGCCCTACACACCGTGCTAGACTGCCCATCCTCCTCAAACTTGCCCTTGGTTTCCCCAGCTCCACGCTTTTGCTCACACCAATGGCAAAGCCAACTGTCCACAGAAAAGGCTCTCTGGTCCTCATCGGTCTTTTGAAATCCAAACCTGTCCTTCAAGACCTAGTTCAAACGTCCCCTCTAGTCTGAGCTGCTCTTGATCCTCTCAGCTCGAAGGGCCGAAGGGCCCTTGGCTGGTCTGCCCTTAGGCATATCTTGCAGGGCTTACACTGCAGGTGTGCACAGCTGTGGCCCATCTGCTGGGATGTTCCCTGCCCGCCCAGATCAGGGCTGTGTCCTCAGGTGGAGTCTCCCCAGCACTGAGCACACAGCAGGTAAGTGATGCATGGATGACTTTATAAAACCTGACTGTGTCCTTTAGAGAATTATTTTACCTTACTCTGAAACATCTTCTGCAAAGATGATGTTTGTTTTTAAAGGTTAGGAAGAGATGAAAAACTACAGGGAACCTGGGTGGCCATTACATAGGGGTTCATATTTTAGTTACTCATAACTGAACATAAATGTATATTTCATGCTCTTTTCTGTATGTATTACTATATTTCACAATAAAATTTAAAAAATGACAAAACCATTGGAAGAATAATTATAAATGCGAGACACTCAAATCTTGACCCTGAGACAACTGGCAAAGGAATGTTAAGGCCAGAGGAATCGGGACAGTTTCTCCCGAGCGCGCTGCCTTACCCACGATACCGCACGGCTGGGTACTCCTTCAGCGTGGCACACAGAGTGGCGATCTGCTCTGCCAGGCGCTCTAGTATAGGATTCTTCATCTGAGCCTTGTGGGGACTGTAGAAGCTCTGGAAAGAGTCAGCCGAGTCCAGAGAATACACCTGAGGAGGAGGCAAAAATATAACCATATAGAGTGTTTGCATCCAGGATGCCGAACGTCAGAATTTTCTCCAAACCTGATAGCGAGTCTACAGAGCATGTTTTCATTTATCCTTCAAATCTGGGCTGGGTGTCTGCTGGGCCAGGCACTGTGCTAAACACATGGGAACTATTCGTGACCAAAACATGATCATCCTTGTGGAGTGCGTGAAGGGAAGGCAGGCAGTAAACAAACAATAAACATAATGAAAGTAAGTTGTATGGCATGTGAGAAACTGGTGTGTGTATGAGAAAATAATAAAGCAGGGAAAGAATGCCCGGATGGGCTAAACGGGGAGGACAAGGCCTCCTGGAGAAGGTGACATTTGAATAGGGCTTGAAGGAGGTACAGAGTTTGTCACCAGCAGGGACTTCCCCATGGAGGGATGGCTGTGCCAAAACCTGAGGCAAGCGTGTCTGATGAACAATGAGGGGACCGGGAGGAGAGCAGGAGAGGAGGCTAGTGTCAGACCTCACAGGCCATTAGAGGGTTAAGTAAATAAGGGATAAGCTAGAAATTGTGCTGTGACTGTGTGCAAATGGTGCTTTTTGATTGAACAATTTTGTATCCTCAGGGGTATGTTCTAACTACTTTTCTTTTTCTTTGGAGAGTTCGAAGTTTAAAGTTTTCTCTTACACTCCCTAGCCTACCAGCTGAGTATTTTCTCAGAATCTCATTGATGTGAACCGCCCTGATCATCTAGAAAAGCGGAGGGCTATGTTTGAAGTGTATTGCTTTTTAAAATCTATGCACTATGGTGTGCGGGAACATGTTAAAGGTGGATTGCGTTCAATCCAGGTGGTGACAGGGCTCACAGAGAGGAAAAAACGTGCTGTCCTCAGGGAATGGGCTTTGGGCCAAGTGAGCTGGGAAGGAGACCGTGTTTAAATGTTCATGCTGTACTTTTCCCATCCCTCCTTAGCTGAGAACAGGTGATTCCACGTGCAAAAATAAAAAAAGATTCCATATGCTAGCGGTCGCCAACCGGTGCTCCGCAGACCACTGGTGGGCCGTGAGGTCCGAAAGGTTGGCAACCACTGCCATATGCCACAATCATTTTTTATCTCTACAAAATGCATAAATGTCCTGTTATCTCATTTCTTTGTTTGCCAGAAGATTTAAAAAATCTTAAAAGACTAGGACATTCATTCTGTGCCTCTCACAATCAGCTTCTCCTTTACTGGTTTAACAACTTTGTGTTTTCCAAGGAGGCGGCTTGCTGCCGCCCTCCTGGCACTGGCAGTGTTAAGGGCTAATGACGAAGGCTGCCATCTGTTCGCTCAGCACATGACAGGCTGAGGTTATCTCTACATAGAAACAGTCTCCTTCACAGCAGATGGGCGTTGTCTGATCCCTTCCCATCTCTCCTTCCATGCTCTTTTTGGATTGACCACCTTTTGGTTATTCAGGACTCAGCCAGTTGGGGTGAACGCTGGGAGCAAGGAGAAGTGCACACAAAGGCTTTAAAAAGGTCAGAAATAAATACAGGGTAAGATGAAGGCCGGGCAGACCCCTCAGGAATACCGCCTCTTTCCATTACATAAACATCCATTCACAACCCCTCATTGTCTTCCAGAATATGACACCTTCCCTCCCCACTCTGTGTACTGCACCCCTACCCCACCCTCTCAGAGCTCCTGACAGAATAACAAGGATGCAGAGTTCCATGCGCTCCCCACCAGCCTCACCTGGGACTCGTAGGGGAGAAACGCAATGTTGATTTCCGTCAGAGTCTTGATGACTTTGGCTGCTCGAGATTTTACCAGCTCGTTAAACAAGGCATCTGGACAAGCTGCAGGAATGACAACAGACACTAGGTTTTCCTGTCCGTTTGCTGGTTAATTTCAATAGTCACACGTGTCTGGTGGATTCTTCATTTATTAGCATTTTAACAAAGGAAATAAAAAGTTAATTCCTTCCTAAAATATCCACTACCTCTAGGCTATAAAAGGAATATAAAAACACCCACAAGGCCCTCAACATAGAACAGAGAAACAATGGGCAATAAAGACTGAGAGTCTGACAGCTAATAAAAACTGTTTTCTGATATCAAGGAGAGGAAGGGAAAAAAAACCAGAAGAGATTAACAGATAAGGAAAAGACCTGCAATATACACAAACATCATGCATCTGACATGCTCATGAAAAAGAAAATAACGAAAAATCAAACCACTGGGCAATGTGGTGCTGGTGTTTCCCTGGACCCTCAAAGGAACTCAGCTGCTCAGGAGACCCACTTGGTGGGGAACCACAGTTCATGCGGCTCTCCTGGGCCAAACACAGTGCAGGGTCCCAGAAATGCACTCTTGTTTCATTATTACTCATGCTGCCTACCTGCTCTCCCTGTCACCCACGTTCAAATGGTATAAAAGTATTTTTTGCCAGAACCTTTCCCCACTTTCTCAGGGGTAAGTTCTGCCGGTTTTCCTTCGAAGAACACTAGGGAACCTGTTATGGTTGTGCGCTCTTTAGCTATCCTGCCTTACTCATCTCTCTGCTGTTAACAAAGATTGACCAGGATGTTAGCACACAGGCTCCTTGCACACAAATAACAGAACGGACTCCAGGACAACGATGCCAGTCTAGCTGAGATAAAGACCAGGTGAAATCTTCGAGGTTGGAAAGCGGATGGACATACACTATACTTTAGTGACATCTGGAAGTCCACACGGTGAAACACCAAGGCTGACACCGGAGCGTTCTGCTCAGTCCTAAGAAGAGGTGCTATTTTCATCAGAAAGGTCTGCACTAGCTAGAGGGTTTGCATGTGGGTGTGCTTATTTTTGTCTGTAATTCAATTTTTCTTCTGAAAGAAAAGAAAAGATCAGGATAATCACGGCAACAACCCATTTCTTCCCTGTTGCCCTGGCTTGGTTCTGGCTCAGCCGTGCCGTGCAGAAAGGCTACCCTGGAGGATGGGGCAGCATCGGACAGCCGTACTCACAGTCAGTGAAGAAGACATGGGCAGCCCGGTACTTAGCAGTCGGTGGGTCCTTAAAGTCATTCATGAGGGAGCGGATAGACTGTGAAGAGGGATAAAAAAGGGAACTGAATCCAATTCTAGAAGCAAATGGAGCCTATATCTGGTCAAAATTAAATCCAAGAGGGCGTTCAAGCTACTTGCACAAAAATAGCAGGGGATTTTTAATGTATAATTCTAACTCATGTTTGGGGATTTGCAACTAGGATTATTTGGGAGTTTAGATGAACAAAAGCCTTCTTAGATCATTCCAGAATGACAGTGTCAGTTCTTTGATGCCACCATAACATGGGTTCCTAAGAAGAGACCCACAAAAGAGGAAACTGGTCAGAAACCTTCCAGGAGATTCACACCGATGAAGTTCTGGCAATGTAGTTGCATCTTCAGAAACCCATACGTAAGCCAGCTTTTACAAGTGAAAAGAAAGTGTGAAAACTGGGGGCAATTTATGGACTGAGAGACAAGCCTAAGACAACTGTTAGCCCAAAGCAAGGAGGTGGACCGTGTCTGGATGCTGATTTGAACCAAGCCTCCAAAACGATAAGACAGGCAATTCCGAACACTAATGGGCTGTTGATGAATTCCGCCTGAAAGTATAAGATACCTAAGCTTGGAAGGCTGGTCCCTAACTAGATAAAGCGGGTTCCTACCGAGAGGGCATGCAAGGGGAAGCTGAATGGCCTGGCACTGGCTTTCCGGACTGTGGTGTATTTCAGAAAGCGTAAGGCTCTCTCCACTTCTCTCTGCCTCTCCCACCCTGATTGTGAACTGCATGGTTAAGCAGAGCAGTGTGTTACATGCATGCTTAACCCAGAAACTGCAGGCACGGCTGCGCAGACGCCACGCCAGCACGTGTGACCCTAGCCAAAGCTTTTCTGGGGGGAGGACTTACCTTCTCTGACGGAGTGATGAGGTACACAGCCTCCAGGCTGGGCAGTGGCTCCCTGCACTTGTTGATGTCTTCCACAACTAGACAACAAAACAGCAGCCCACCGTGAGTGAGAAAACTCAACTGGGCATCACAAGACTGGAAGTGACAGGCACAGGCTACCTTCAGACAAGCACAGAAAAAAACCTGGGGGGGGGGCGTCACTGCCCCTTCCTGATAGTCACCACTTTCCGCCGTCCCACCGTGCTCAAGATTTTAGAAGACCTGAAACCTTATCACACTAAATATTTCCCACTCCCCATTTCGGTTTCAGTGAATTCCTTGAGCTGCACTGATTGAAAATGGAAAATTTGCCCCTTCCTTCAGGTTTTGTTGCTGTTGTTGTTCATTTGTCCCCCACATTCCAAGTTCCTTTAGAATTCCCATGCTTTGATAGAGAAAAATGTAGTTTTAAAAAATTAATGAAAATAAGTTTGTAAGCTCAAAACATCTGACCATAGGACACTTCAACTCTCCTAGACACTGCCAAAGTAGCTGTACCAACTGACACTCCGTCATATAGGAGTTCCCATTTTTCTACATCCTGTCACTTGGCAGTATCAGAGTTTAAATATTCCAGTCTGTTGAGTGTACAGCCATATTTCACTCTGGTTTCAATTGTAGTTCCCTGGCCCTTAAAGTGGGCAAGCAATTTTTCATGTATTTATTGGCCATTATGGATTTATTCTTTTTTTAAGTGCCTGTTCAGGTCTTTTGCCCATTTTTTCCCCATTGGATGGCCTGCCTTTTCCCTTGAGTTAGCCTTCCTTTTGGCATCCTTTAACACAGCGGTTCTCAACCTGTGGGTCACGACCCCTTTGGCGGTCGAATGACCCTTTCACAGGGGTCGCCTAAGACCATCCTGCATATCAGATATTTACATTACGATTCATAACAGTAGCAACATTACAGTTAGGAAGTAGCAACGAAAATAATTTTATAGTTGGGTCACAACATGAGGAACTGTATTTAAAGGGCCAGAAGGTTGAGAACCCACTGCTTTAACAGATATTTAATGAGCATCTAGCAGTGGCTTAGGGATTCAGTGATGAACAAGAAGCCTTGGGTCTCTCTCAGGAACTTACAGTCTTACCACCCAGGTCAGTGGAAGAATCTAAAGTCAAGTAGGTAATACTGACTAGGGAGGAGGGAAGCTGGCACAAGGGGAAGGCCTGAGCGTCACTAAAGGGCAGAGAGAATGGTGCGCTCACTCGTTATCCCCTCGGTCATGATGTCCGTCATCTTACAGCAGGAGGAGAGCATCCTCATGCTCAGCTGATCCACCACCAGCACCTGGAAGCAGAGAGACCAGCTGACAGCCCGTACGGCACCTTCTGCTCTTCTCACCGGCTCACCGCGTCAGACCTCAACATGAGCCCCAGGAGGCAGAACACTGAGATTCAGTATTTCCTGGGGCCAGCAGAAGTTAGCCGAAATGCATGCTAGCTTTTTTCCCCACACGCTAACCTAACTTGGGAGTTAAGAGCTTTCTCTTACTGACTTGACTTAATTTTATAAGTTTAAAAATATTAAACTTTTTATTTTTCATGATAAAGAGATCAATTACTCATAAAAATGCAAAGAAAGAGATAAAAATACTCCACAGCACCCACACTCAGAGAAGCTACACTGGAGAGTCTTTTCTCAGGGCAGAGCTTTTCCCTAAAGGGAGGGGGAGCACTCGTGCCACAGGACAGTCTGGAAGGTGAGGACTGTTACAATGTCATCGGGACACACCTTCACCAGCACACACATCATCTGGGAGCCAATTGTGTTTCAGGAAGACGTGCCATCGGGTCTAAAAGTTTCACTCCTGCAACTCTTCAGCTAACCTTTCCTAGCTCCAGTCGGCACGGTGGACAGGGGGATGCAGTTAAAACAAGGCTAGTTCTCCTCTCCCCCTTTAATGATATAAACGGAGGTAACAGAGGCCAGACACGATGCGGCCCAGAAAGCACGCTGCTACAGCATGAGGGCCAGGTTTCAGCCTATGCAGCAGCTTCCTGGAGACCCTTTAAAACTCCCAGGTCCACAAAGACGGGCATAGAGAGTTCCCGCCACATGGCCTCCCGCTCTGGTGGTGAGGGGGATGTGCTGCTAACACAGTCTCCCAAGTCCTGGGGGAGACTTCAAAACCCGCCTGGGCCGTCACCTCTGCTGCTCCCGGCCGATGGACTTGCAAACTTGCAGGCAAGAGTGGTTGGAATACACTTCAATAGCGCACGGGAAGTTCAAGCGAGACTGCATGCTCTCCTGGCCAGTGGAAGGCCCTGCCCCAGACAACCGAGTGACCCTTAAAACGCCGACTTCCTGAATGGAGGGCAGCACGCTGTCCGCTCCTCGCGTCACTCGCTCCAGGAAATGAGGCCACAATCAGTTTGATTGACTTAAATACTTGTTTCATGTACATTACATGTGAAATGGCCAGCGTTGTTCTCAAAGTTACATGAATAAACATGTAGTTACTGACAGATGGGGTCAGACCAAAAGAGGGCTTTCCACACTGTTGTGTGGGCTCCATGGAGATGCTTTAAGGCTGCCAGAGAGGCCAAAGGGCCTTGCCTTTCTTTCCCGCAGTGGGCAGAATTCCACCCTCGCCTGCTTACATATGGGTTTCAGGGAAGATTTTGTTTGAATAAAAGAGTTCCACTGAGAACCTGCCCCAGCAGGTGCTCTTTCAGATAAGCTTTATGACCAAGAGATTTCATAACCAGGATCCTATCAAATGAGAGGCATAAGCAGATTACCTTTTTAAAGTTTTATTCTCTGGACACAACAAAGGTCTTCACTCTCTGCCTCCACTTTCCCCCACTGTAGTTCTTTCCACATGAACTCATCTTTAAGGCCATTAATTATACTGTAGACTTACCTTCCACTCCCCCTTCTTCTTTACCTTCTTTATCACATCATGCATGATCTCTAAAAAAGGAAAGGAGAAAGGAAACTTTAGTGTAATTTCAAGGACTTCAACTCCTGCCTACTAGACTCGGTCATTTTTCTCCCCACAGGCTTTGTTCTTGTTGTTCAATGTCTATTCACTGAGCCAGACTCAACCCACCGTAAAGAGTTTTCTCCCTGCCCTGGCCGGTGTGGCTCAGTGGTACAGCTCTGGCCTGGGAACCAAAGGGTCACAAGTTCGATTGCCAGTCAAGGGCACCTGGGATGCAGGTTTGGTCCCCGGCCACATGTGTGGGAGGCAACCAATCAATGTGTCCCCCTCACATCAACTTTCATCTCTCACTCTCCCACTCCCTCCATTCCACTCTCTCCAACAATCAGTGAGGATTAACAACAACAACAAAAAAGAGTTCTCTTCCTGTTTCCTTAATTTGGTGGTTCTCAAACTTTCTGGTCTCAGGACTACTTTACACTTTTAAAAATTGAGGTTCCCAAAGCGTGTTTGCTTAGTCTCTATCATTCCCCTTTATACCTGAGTGTCCCCAGCCGTGCAGGTCTCATAGGAAATGCCACTTTTACCACCTTTTCTAAACCCAGGTAGTGAGCAGGCCTGTTAGCAAGTGTGTTTCAAACACGTAGGTCATTCTCTAGAGCACAGTGGTTCCTAACTCTGCTTTTGACTACTCGCAATAATCTGATGTGCAGTAAATGTGTTCTGAAACGTTTAGAATTGTCTTCCTGATTATAACAACACACTCACTGCAGTACTCTTGGAAAACACAAATATCATGTGTTACTTGTTTACTTAAAAAAAAGAAAAAAGAAAAATAATCTGTAATCCTGTCAACTTGAAATGCTTAATGAACATTTTAGTTATTTCCTACTAGCTTTTTCTCTGCACGTTTACAGTTAAAATCATGATATATATCATTTTAATTATGCTTTTTTCAGTCACCAAACTCATTTCCCCAGGTTAATAAAAATGCCTCCTAGGATTTAAAATGCAACCATAATAGTCCAATAGCCATTTAGATTATTTCCCATGTTTTAGTGGAATGAAAAATTGGAAACAAATATATAAAGTAATAGAGCAGTGGTAAGTCATTTAGGTTACATTTGTACAATGGAATACTATGTACTCATTAGGAATAATGATATAGGAACTATATATATGCATTCATTCACTCATTCAGTAACATTTGTTGCGTAGCCACTGTTGGCCAGTCATTAAGCACCAGGCGTGAACAAGGGCAGGTACCACATGGCCCCAGTGGGAAGAGGGAGGAGACCTTGAAGATCTGGCGGCAGAGGTGAAGGTCTCCTTGCTGGAGATGAGTCCTGGCTAAGAGAGGGCAGAGTGGTCTCATACATGGAAGGTTTGAAGAAAGAGGGTATCCAATATCTCCCTGAAGTCTGGGAAAGTGAATTTAGAGATGTTTTAGCATTTCTGGACAGTATTAAGGGCTAATTTGAGGTTCATGACCATGAATTTAATGTGAAACCAGGCAGCTCAATTGTGTTTTGTGTATGTGTATTTTCAAACAATGTTCGCCTATCCAGGTACAGGCCAGGAAGAAAAGAAGAGTTGGTTTCAACTAGTTTAGGGTTAGGGTTTCCCCAGGTGAGTACAACAGAGGGAGAATTTGCTCAAAATATATGGCTAAGAGCGGGGGGAAAGGGCATGTTACAACTATTTTTTAAAAGTATACAAAAACAGGAAAAATTAGAGAAAGTTATACCAAAATGTTATTTTTGTGCAGTAAGATTATGATTAATCTGTAATTGCTAATTTGTCTTCCTATGTTCTCCCCAGCTTTCTGCATTGAGCATATATTATTTTTTGTAATAGGAAAAATGGTCTAAAAATAATGTAAGTGATTCTGTTAGGAGAGCTTTCTGGGTATGGAATGAACAAGCAGAATACAAATATTCTGGGCTCTTGATAAATTCTTCTGAATTATTTTGCAAAAGCACAATTTACACCCTCAGCAGTACGTTACACCCTCACCAGTACTTTCCAAATTAACATACTAATAAAATAATAACTTGAGGTGTGCTTATTTTTAATCTTTGCTAAAGTGTCAGCAGAAAATGGTATATTTCACTGTTTTTATTTGACTTTATTTTATTACTGAGGATTAATACTTTTTTCTTTGCTCCACAAAATTAATTTTCACTCACTGGCTTTAAATTCAAGCCACTTTTTGATAAGGGAAGATAGAGGTAGAATCAAAAAAATTAAAACAAGTAGCACAAGTAGCGAAGACGGACTGACAGCTGCCACGCCCACCCTCCCGACCGGTTCTGAGCTTCTCGGGGCATAATTTGTCGTGGGTATTGTCATCAGCCAATTCCAACCCTGCCCTACATTTTCTGATCCCAGACCAGAAAGGAAACAAGGATTAGAGCCCATCTGAGTATTAAGAGAGTCAAGTCGCTTGGGCTACTTCCTCACAAATAATCCGCTGCCGATCACAGTCTATGTCCCTGGAAGTTCTCTTGTGTGAAAAGAAAGAATAAAGCCTCAGACTCTGGTCCAGCCAGCTGGTCTCCTTTCTGTGTGCCAAGTCACGTGTTCCTACAGCCAAACATCCCTCCACCACCCACCTGGTCAAAGGAGACGGGACAAAAGAGACCAGGGAGCTGCAACTTCTCCATAAGTACGAGGCCACGGGCCTGGTGGACTCTGCTTCCCTCACTGCCAAAGGGGTAAGGAAGTGGGTTCCTTCAACCACACCCTAGTCAGAGGTTCTCAACCTGTGGGTCGCGACCCCTTTGGCGGTCGAACGACCCTTTCACAGGGGTCGCCTAAGACCATCCTGCAGATCAGATGTTTACATTACGATTCATAACAGTAGCAACATTACAGTTATGAAGTAGCAACGAAAATAATTTTATGGTTGGGTCACAACATAAGGAACTGTATTTAAAGGGCCAGAAGGTTGAGAACCACTGCCCTAGATCCTAGCTGACTCCCAAACTCAACAAGTCCTGAGAAAAACAGCAGGTGCTCAGATTATCTGGGATCTCTTCAGGTGCACCCGATATACCAGCTGGAGTCCCAAAGCTCAGACTAGCGACAGTTGCAAATCCTACCCACCTGGTGAAGCCCTGTCCTTAGCCTTGGCAATGACCGCCCTCCGCAGTGACCCGTATCAGGACACCTGAGCCCAGGGCACTCCACAACACCAGGAAAAGCAGGACTAATATCAGATGAACCGGAAGTTTGAGGGGAATGTGAGCATCACCAAAGTCCTCAAAACCACGGGGATTCAAATATTCTCCGCTCTGTGGCCCCAGAGTGCCATGCTGCCCTGCACAGGTGCACCAGGAGCCGGGGGCCCCGGCTGGGAGGAGAAGCGCCTCCCTTCGCTGGACTCAGCTCACAGCTACTCTCCTCTTACCGACCCAAAGCACAGAGATTGCAGTTATCCCAGCCCCGATGGCAGTTCCTGGAAAAGGCACCCTCCTGAATAGACCGTGGTGGTGTGAGGGTAAACGCTAACTACTCGGGCAGAGGTCCTCCCCACCCTCACGATTAAGAAAGAACGCCAAGGGAAGCACTACAGTTAGACTAGGGCAGTGGTCGGCAAACTCATTAGTCAACAGAGCCAAATATCAACAGTACAACGATTGAAATTTCTTTTGAGAGCCAAATTTTTTAAACTTAAACTATAGAGGTAGGTACATTGTTATTAACTTAATTAGGGTACTCCTAAACTGGCCTTTGCTAAAAAAAGTCCTCAATCTGATTGAGGTACGTTCGCTGAGGTCGACCCCTTCCACTTTTCCCATCAACACTCCTCTTGTATACTTGTTTCGTCTATCTCCTTGCCGAAAACCGACTTCTGCGCATGGGCCACGAAGTTTCAATCGCACTGTACGTGCTTGCCCGCACGTGGTATTTTGTGGAAGAGCCACACTCAAGGGGCCAAAGAGCCGCATGTGGCTTGCGAGCCACGGTTTGCCGACCACTGGACTAGGGAAAATCCAGGTTCAGGCATTTACTGGCACATGCCCTGGTTGTGGGCTCGATTCCCCAGTAGGGGGTGTGCAGGAGGCAGCCAATCAATGATTCTCTCTCATCATTGATGTTTCTATCTCTCTCTCCCTCTTCCTTCCTCTCTGAAAACAATACAAATATTTTTTTAAAAAATTATAATACTCTAATGACCTGTTGTGAAGACTAATGAGATAAAATACCTAGTACAGGCACATAGGAGGCATTCAACAAAAGGCACCGATTACAATATCACTATAAAAATGTTGTTCATACAGACAAGAAAACTATGACATATCACTTCCACCAATCAAAAATTTTCATATAATGTAAAAACCCTATTAAAAGGAAGTAAATACGAAAAATACAGCTTTAAAATAATCACAAAAACATCTAAAAGCAAACTCTGGGTATTTCACCAAAAACTTTAAAACTTCTCTGACCCACAATACATATGTGAATACACTTTGAAATAACGGTGCCAATGCGCCAATGCACATAAACCGTACATGTAAATACAAAATTGAACGGGAGAATCCTTACCCCTGTGGAGCAGACAGTGACCTCCGTTTATTTAGGAACAGATGTATCAATGTGAATCACAGGCAGGGCCCACAGAAGGTAACACATTTCATGGCACAGCATGGGCACACAGGACTATATTTTTAATTCGCTCTCACTTAACATTGTTCTGAAATTTCACTACGACAGGCAAACAAAATGAGATAGAATAATGGTAAGAAAGATGCAGACTATCTGCCGTAGGAAATCATGGGAAACAACTGAAAAACTATTAGAAACAGAAAAGCATTTAGGGAGGCGGCAGATACAAAATAACTACAAAGAAACCAAGCGGACTTTGATAAGGCAACAGAGTTCCTAGGAAGACGGCTGCACTGGTTACCAGTGTGTGCCGGGCTGGGACCCTGGAACCCCACCCCCTGTCAATTAATTATGGCCAAAAAGTGTACCCCAAATGCTCATCAACTGGTGAAGGGATAAACAAATGAAGTATATCCATGTAATGAAATACTATTCAGCCATAAAAAGGAATGAAGTACTTACACATGCTACATACGAACGAACCTTTAAAAATGCTAAGCCAAAGAAGCCAACCACAAAAGACCACATGTTGTGTGATTCCTTTTATTATTATTATTATTTAAGGTATTACAAATAGTAATACATAAGTCCCCTTTCCCCCCCACTGACCTCCCCCCCCCGTATGATTCCATTATTATGAAATGTCCAGAATAGGCAAAGCCATAGCGATAGAGAGTAGATTAGTAGTTGCCTGGGGTCAGGGGAGAGTTGGGGGTGAGATCTAAGGAGTACAGAGTTTCTTTGGGATAATGAAAGTATTCTAAAA